CTATCAGGTGCTAATGATCCATTGTTAGGCTGATGGTCCTTCTTGAGCATGTGATCAGCTGGTTCTGGTTGTCAGCAGCAAACTGGTTGATCCACTCTGAGAAGGTGCTATTTAAGAGACTGAGCTGAATACAGCACCTCAGACTGAGGAAGTCTCTCGGATGAGAGACGAAACGTTTCTAGATTTTTTTTGCTTTGTTTTGTTTTTGTTTTTTTTTTAATGTCCAGAGGACCAGATTGAACTTTTTTGGATTTTTCTACCTGGATTATTGAGCATGCATCAGGATATTCTCATTTCTCACATTTTGAAAAGTATAGCTGAACTGTAGATTGTTTTCTGCAACATTTGCTTTTTGTATTGTTGACAGTTTAATGTAGTAATAAAAAAAACTTTGTTCAACTCCATTCCAGCAAAGTTATTGTTCAACAGACTTATCTGCTCCTTTTAGTATTGCAAGATAAAGTTTTGTTGTAGTTGATCGATTGACTTGTACGACTCCAACAAATGCATTTAATCTGTCATTGTTCATAGATCTGTCACTCCTGAGACTGTAAATTAGGTTACAACCTACAATCTATAAATAAAAGTACAGCTCCATATCAAAGTTTTTAAAAAGTTGTATTTTGTCTGTCTACACAAAAAAGTAACAGAACCATTAAAAATATATATTTTGACGGGAACCTCTTTTGAAAAAATGTCCTAATATGTGCTTTGTGTGAACACGAGGCTGAAAGGTAAAACCTTTCCCGTGTGGACAGAGCCTAATACTTTTGGTTCATTGAAGCAAAGCCTCTTTCATTTTAAGGAATGATTAAAATATCAAAGAGTAAAAAATATACATGTTTTTTAAAGCTTCAACTTTCTCTTGAATATTATTTAAGATGCAATAAAAATAATGTTGCAGCTTTAGCTGCTAAATCAACATCTAGTGCTGTGATCAGTCACATTTAACATGAGGGACTGTAAAAATGTTAAGACTTGAAAACAGAAAGAGGAATATGATCTGAAATGTAACTGAAGCTTGTGCAACATACCTTTTGTCTCTCAGTGGATCCTAATGGTTTTAGTACTCCATGGTTATCACTTTGTATTGAATGGTATTAAAAATGGAGTAAACAGCATAGTAAAAATAAATACATTAATAGGTATTTAGATCAAACAGCATAGTTACACATGAACCTTTTTGTCTGTGTGCTTCAGATGGGTAACTGTGAAACAAATGCACAGATAAAAACAAACTGAACTTCTCTTGAGGCAGACAGTTCACAGATAAAGCTGTGGTTTTGGATGACAGTCAAGAAAAGATCAGAGCAGTGTGTTTGTGAAGAGGCTGCCATCCAAACAACTCTGTGGGGCTCCCAATGTTGAGATGACAGGCTCAGATGAGGATCTCTACCAGGTCCAGGTCCACCTCCTGTTGGGTGGGAGCGGCTGCAGGAGCTGGATGTGGTAGATGGGAATGCACAGGAAACCTCCTGTCAAGGGTGCTACTGTTAAAAACTGGGACATCTGCACAAAAGAAGAAAAAACTTTATCAAACCACATCATTCAGTTCAAAAGTGATCAGAGTCAGAATCATCTCAGTGAAATGGGACAGATGGGTGTCGAACAGGTAGTCTTGTTTAAACTGGTTCAGACTCTCTTGATTTATATTTTTTTACTTCCATGTTTTACAGTGCAAGTGCATTTAGTCACCAAAAAGTGTCTCATCAAATTAAAAACATTTCAACAATTCAATACACAAAAGATTATAAACTTTAAAAAAAAACAATACATTATACGCCTGTCAACAAACTACTATACAGAAATACAGCAATCTATAGCAATGGTCCAGACAAGAAAAGATTATCTGCTTGTGGTTCTAGAGGAAGATCTTCCAGTTCTCAGGCTCCTCTCTTGTGGAACCAACTTCCAGTTTCTGCCGTGAGGCTGACACATTGTCCAGTTTAAGACTGGGATTAAGACTTTCCTTTCTGATAAATCCTATAGTTAGGGTCGGCTTAGGTTTCCTGAGCTGTCCCTTAGTTACACTGCTATAGGCTGGAGGACAAACTGACCACATCTATTCACTCTGCTGTTCTCTTTTCTTGCTCTTCTCGACCTGTTTGTATTTGTAATTGGGGACTGGCAGACACTTATTATTATTATTCACCTCAGAAACAGGTTTCTTAACATTATTTATATCTTATACACTTCTGTCAACTTTAATGTGGCCCGAACTGCAACATCAGTGACGTGCAGTCAGGGGAGGCGAGGGAGGCAGGGGAGGCAGGTGAGACAGGTGAGGCAGGGGAGGCAGGTGAGGCAGGAGAGTCAGGGGAGTCAGGGGAGGCAGGTGAGGCAGGGGAGGCAGGTGAGGCAGGGGAGGCAGGTGAGGCAGGAGAGGCAGGTGAGGCAGGTGAGGCAGGTGAGGCAGGAGAGGCAGGTGAGGCAGGGGAGGCAGGTGAGGCAGGTGAGGCAGGTGAGGCAGGGGAGGCAGGGGAGGCAGGGGAGTCAGGGGAGGCAGGGGAGGCAGGGGAGGCAGGGGAGGCAGGGGAGGCAGGTGAGGCAGGTGAGGCAGGTGAGGCAGTGCCGCACCTGTCACCAAGACAAGTAAAATACTAACAATGATAAGACAAAATACATTTGACCACTTGACTATTATATAAAACTGTTTTCTGAATTATTTCAACACTTCAAAGGTCAAAATCACAGAATCTATGCATTGTTGGGGTGCAGAAGAAAGAATGTAGACCTTCTTAGTTCTGGCGATTCTGAATCGATACTAAAGGCCCATAAATCAATTTTAGAATGCGTTTATTTTATTTCTACTCCTGCACTCGAGCGTACTGCATATCGCATTATGTGTCCGCTCGGCTGCCGTAGAATTTGGCCGTGTAGGCCACCGTACCGCAAGCTAGTTAGCCAGCTCCCTTTATCTGAATGGAGCCTGCTAGCATGGAGGAGGGAGACAGCGCAATTCAACTCGCTGCTTCGTCGTTAAAATCATTTCAGATCCTACAATGTTCCGGGGGAAGACAGAGCTTCACATGAACACGGTTGTTTGCAAGAAGTGTAAAATAAAATGGCAGTACGGTATTTTGGAAATATGAGAAAATGCGCAGAAGATGAAAAGCGAAAGCAGCAACGCAGCGAACTCTACAACAATCTTCCAGCTAATTCCCAAAGCAGGGCTGTGAACATTTCCCATCGCCTGCTATATCACAAAGATTTACAAGCAAGAGCTCAGTCGAAGGCGACGGGTTTAGGTTTATTTTTAATATGCTGGACCCAATGTACGTTATTCCTTCACGTAGCTGTTTGCTGGGAAACGAGGCCAGATGGGGTCTGTTCCAACACTATGCTCTCCAGGAGGGAATGAGCAGCGGGGCTGCTGCTGACGTCACCTTTTCTGGAGGAATCATCCGATTCGCTCCGTGACTCGGTGTCAAAAAAGGCGATGGCGTCGTCCAGCGAACAGTCCCCCGTCACGGAAAGGCACTCCTGGATCTTAGCCTTGAACAAGGCTGCTCGCCTCTGCCTCTCCTCAGGAGGGAGGATGTCACAGAGACAGCAGGAGGACGCGAGGTCGGCGTGACGGGGACCCAGGCATCCTTCACAGACGTTGTGCCGGTCAAAACTCAGCATGTAGCCGATCTTGCAGGACGGGCACAGGCGGATGGTGCTGGACATCTTGTTTGTGTAAAAGCAGTGCTGGTTGCTTACTGAAGAAAAAATGGGAGCCGATTATCCGGTCTCACCGTAATTTATACGGACCGGGGGTGAGGCTCACACAGCAGGTGGGTTTGGACTAAAGTTTTCAGTGCTGCGCGCGATGGGATAAACCCACTAGCGACAGCATTAAAGGGCGAAGCCTGTACGTAATAGAACTATTTTTGAAACGCAGCTGATTTGACCATTAAAGTGCATTTATTAAGCAAATGTTAGACTGAAACACACATTTACTATAATTTTGAGCAAACAAACAATTGTTTTTAAGTGTTAATCTTGTTAAATTCCTGTTCAAGTCTAGGGATGGGAAGTGAGAACAGGTTCTTTTAGAGAACCGGTTCTTAGTATTTCAACTCCCTGGAATTGTAGGCGGCTTGCCTAACGATTCTGTTTATCGGTTCTACTGACTCGTCATGATGATGCATTTACGTGATGACATCACAGACATGCGCCGTATTTGGTATTCAACATGGCGTCGAGGAAGAAGCGATCTAGCGCGTGACTCTACTTCACAAAAAAAGACGAAACCAGGGCTACTTGCAACACATGAAAAGCGTCGATTACAACAAAGGGCGGAAATACTTCTAACACGCAGAAGCATTTGACCACGCAGCATACGGTTAGTTTGCACAAATGTACCGTCTTTAACACGCTGCTTGGCGGTGGCAGTGCACCTAACAAAGCCTCCTCCATCTTAAATGTCGCAGCAGGTAACGTTAAACTCCTCCAGGTCCTGTCGATTGTTACCTTTTTGCTGCTTTCACTGTCTTGTATAAATAATCTCCATCTCCTGTAATAACATGTAGTTGACGAGGACTGCCGGAGTCTGGCTGGCTCCGAGGCTGGTGCTAGGACACCTCTAGCTTAGAAGAGGATGAAGATGATAACTAAAGATGATAGACTGCATGGATTATGACACTATTTAATTTAAAATTGAACCTTGTGGATTATGGGGGCCGAGATGGTGTAGAGGCAGGGCAGCCGGCTTGGGACCCGAAAGTCCCAGGTTCAATCCCCAGTCACTGCACATCACGTGGCGTCTCTGGGCAGCACGTCTCATCCCCAAAATGTCCCCCGGGCGCTTTCAATAGCTGCCCACTGCACCACCTGGTGGTGGATGGGTTAAATGCAGAGACTAATTTCGCCATTGTATGGAAACATACAGTGCTGACATTGTGATGACATTATTATTATTATTATTACAAGTTGTGGTTATGTCAATAATTTCAGACACCTCCCATAAAGCAGCAAACAAAGACAGCCCTAGAAGAACTCTTTGAAGAAGAGGACAGTGAGCTTCTGTCAGTGCAGCAGCCCCCATCTCCACAGCTCAGAGTGGATGGAGAAGTCCAACTATACAGAAGCCTATCACCCATTCCAACCAAGGACAGCCCCACCCTCTGCTGGTGGATGAAGGACACACCGCCCATATTATCAGCTTTAGCTGAGAAGTATCTCTGTGTAACAAACATCCTCCACCTCTTCTGAGAGGGTGTTCTCCACAGCTGGAGATACTATAAGTCCAGAAAGATCTCGTATCCTTCCTGAGGAAGCAAACATGTTCATTTTTGCTAGTTTGCCAAAATTTAAAAGTGCAGTTGTGTTTTATGATGATGTGTTAATAACGTTAATTAGGAATTATTTTCTCATACCAGTTCTATTTTTGTTCTGGTGAAAGAGCATTAAATACTTCATGCACACAAATGGTGTACTATAGTTTATTGCACTATAGTTTATTGTACTATATTTTATTGTACTATAGTTTATTGTACTATAGTTTATTGTACTATAGTTTATTGCACTATAGTTTATTGTACTATATTTTATTGTACTATAGTTTATTGTACTATAGTTTATTGTACTATAGTTTATTGTACTATATTT